CTTGAGGACCAGGATTGGACACCCCTGATGTAGAAGGTCCAAAATTCCTCTAGTTGTGTACTTTTTCCAAGATTTTCTCTTCAACTTTTATTTTTATGTTTTTGGTTTTTTTTTGTTCACTGAATTTATTCATTTTACACACTTCCACGTCTTTCAGTCTTTCACCATACCCAATACCTTCAGAGCGGTGCTTCCTGTGATTGGTCTTGGCCTTAGCATTCTGAGCCTCAAGCTGATCAATTAGATCCTGGTTCTCCTGCAAAACCAGAAAGGCCTGTTGTTGAAGTTGTTGACTGCAAAGAGAAAAGAGAGGGAGAAAGAGATTATATCCAAAGGAAGTTAGCAGAACACAAAGCTGCTGTTTTTTTTTTTACAGTACAGCAATGACAAAACATGAACACAATACCATTGGTTTACCTTATTTAATTATTTATTTTAACTAGCAAGGAAAGGGTTATGCAGTTTTAAAATAGGAATCACTTTTCTTAAAGGCCATACATTACATTTGCATGTTCAGTCTAAACATTAGATAAGAATACATCTTAATCCCTCTGTTAACGCATCTACAGGTCAGACTTTAAAGTGTGCTGCTAAGTTAGCAGCAAGAAACAGCTAATCTTGCACCAATGTTTTATTTTGCAAATGCTGGAGTGAGAGCCTCTTAATTGGTTGTTGTTGCTTTTTTTTTTTTTTACAAACCGATGTACTGTGAACAGCTCTTATTACTTTAAACAGCACAAGTATGGAATGTGAAATCTGTTCTGGAGTTTTCAACCTGTTGTCCTCTGTACTCTTACAATCATAGATTTCTACCAAACGTCTGCCCTTACTTGAAATGGTGTTGTGATCTTAATCATGAATTCTGGCCAGTAAGTTACAGTTTAGTATTCAGTGATGTGGTCTTGGCAAGAGCACTTGCAAAATGGATTAAATTTAAATGCATGCAAATGTATTGAGTATCAGTGCACATGACTACCGGTCAAGAAATCACATCGTTCTTGAGTTGATGCAACTGTATTAGAACAGTTTAGAAGAGGTTTAAATGACTAAAACTCGTGTGTTTTCACATGAAGTCAGTACAACTGACTTAATCAGACCTACTTACAATGACTGTCAACAACATAAGTTGAATGATCATGAAAGACAAAATAGTAGTGCTGAGGGAATATAGCAGCACAGATGAAAATAAAAAAGGTTTTATTTACTGCATTTATTTTGTACATTTTCATACAATGTGAGCTTTAGTAACAGATCCGAAGTTAGGCCAGAAGGACAGCAGAAGAGAATAAAAGAAGCATTTCATTTTCACTCCATCAGGAGAATGGGCATTAACAGCCCACCAGTGCTGACAGTGCTGCACCAGATATTTTCTGCCTTACCAGTCCTTCTTGCTGACCACTCCAACCTTGGCAACTTCATCATGGAGTCTCTCATTTTCTTTGATCACTTCCTCTACATGAACACGCAACTTCTTCACCTCCTCCTGTACCAAACAAAGACACACCAGAACCTCAGATTTCAAGGACACAACATGAGACATTTTAAAGTGGAGACAGCAAAACAAGAATAAATCTTCTGCTCCTTTACAAACCCTGTGCCGAGGGTTAAATGTGCCCCGAGGGAGACCTGACTGGGTACACTAGTTATCTTGTTGGTGTTCTCACTGAGTCTGGTTTTGCCTTCTCAAGTGTCACTCTTACAACTCCCTTTTATGTGAAACCGGATTGCCTCAGTGCACAAAAACCTGATGAGTGGAGCCTCATCACTGGCAACTTAATTATGCAGTGTGGTGAACTGAATGCTTTTATGATTCCTATGTGTCCAAGAGCAGCAAAGGTTGCATTACACTAGCCACAATAACAGATTTAAAATATATACAACTATAAGCAGCCATTGTTTCTCTCAAAAACTGTAATTTAATTTATTCACAATGTCTTAAATACACAGGTGTCAGGATCATAAATGCATCATCCTCAACATGCCTTAGGTTGCATTCTACCACAAACTGTAGCGCATTTGAAATATTCCTCAACAGCAAAATCATTACCATTAGAAATAGGACACATGAATTTGATTTCACTACTGCTGTTTGTACATTTTGACATATGTCAGAAGCTCCTAAACTAATGGAATCCATCATGTTCACCCCTGAGTATATTGCAGTTTTTGATCCACTGACTTGCATATATCCAAAACAGCACATTAAATGTTGGTTAGGTGCTCCCATCTCTGACAAGACAGCCCACATTCTCATGAAAAAAGAGATAAAAAATGACTGAGATTGAAACTCACACAAATGCATAAAATCTCTCACATATACTTTACCTCAGTGGTTTGCAGAAGAGCATCCTTCTCATTCATCCTGTCTTCATAAGCCAGCAGCAGAGGAGAAAAATACTTTGTGTCAAGCTGCAAAAAAGGACAGAGAAATGATTAAAAAACAGCTATAACATTGATGGCATGAAGCTATTCCAATACAGGGCTTATTCCACAAAGGAAAATTATCACACAAGTCAAAGTAGGTTGGTAATAGCACGTGCAAATGGGCTTTGTGTTCTTGCTCTATTCAGCAGTCTCAAGGCACACTTTTCCTTGTGTATATTTTTTGTTAGTTTTAGGTTGAATCTTCCCAACTATTAGATCACCTATGTGTCAACAGACTGAGCATCGTGATTTCACACGTTAAATCCATGTCATGAGTACAAGATTGAGAAGATAAGACAGGATACACTGCTGACCAGCTGCCTTACATTAATAGGCACTATCTCAGATTAACATCCAGTCAAATTTATGAAATGACTTGCCAATGAAAACTAGCCAGCCACATTGAACATATTGATTAGCTAAATTTAACTATTAACTAGCCAAAAGGTCAGCCTACTGTCAAGCTGTGTTAAAGTAATGCACTGTACTGCCTAATACAGATACTGACCAGCCGGGGAGAAGGGGAGCCCGTCTTTGGTAAGCCACTGATGTTGGAGTGCTGGATGAGATACAGTGAAAAGGAGAAAGAAAATAAAGTGAGCTATCATCCCATCATTACATCCATTGTTAGCTTGACAGCTTTAAATCTCATACTTTACACAGACAAGATAAATATACAAAAATGTGCAGTATGGATGACTACATCATACCTGAAACAATTTACAGGGAAGCTATTTCAACACATTATATAGCAAAGAAAATTACAGTTTGGTGGCAGCAGAACAGATGAGCATTACATTGTATAACAAAATATAGAAGCAGATCATTTTAACTAATCAAATAAATTAAGGCACATCCTTTCTTTTATGACTATACTATTTGAAAAATCTTTTTCTTCTATCTTTTGCTTTCTCCAGCCACACATCGGCTGTCAGTAATGAGGTCTGACAGAGACAAGCAGCTACAGAGGAAGCAAACTGGTAGTGATGAGTAAAGAGAATTCCCTGCTGTGTAACACAGCACGAGGTAGCCATGCTTAAAACCAAAGGCTGACTTTCCTTTGCAGTGTAAAATGTACAGCAATATGGGCAGACTGGAATGGACAGACACAGACAGTAACAAGAAATTCCTTCAGCTCAATAAATCAGGTGTAAAAAGAAAACCTTTTTTCATGCAGCAGGGTTCTTGATCAAAGTTGGATATCTATTTTAAAGGCTTGGATATGAAGCTTTGAAAATAAAGTGATGTACTGATAATAGATTCCATACAAAAGCTAAGAATATTAGACTAAGGAAAGACCATGACTAGAACAAAATAAAACAAAGTCTGAATATATCTGTTGAGAATACAGCTGAAAACCTCATTTACATTAATTCTAGCAGCATAAACTAGAGTGAGAAGCTGATTGGTGAGCAAAAGATTCCCAGTGCAGTTACCTGACAGGCGAAACTGTTCAGAGGCGAGCTAGTTACAAAAAGGAGACAGAGCTCTTTCCCAAAATTGCTTTTGAGTAAGCCATGAGCCTGTCATTACTTCATGGGGGTTATGATCAGGTTGTATAGGGTCATATTTATTATCATATCTTGTGATTTTGGTTGAGTTTGATGAATTTGTTGGACAACAAAAGATATAACAACCATTAAAAAACTCGGCCATATGGATTGTGATAAAAGAAAAAAAGTTCCCCTTTTTTCAAATGATGTCCCATCATGACGTTTTTCATACCTCCTGTTTGGACAATGGTCTGAAGCGGGTTTGGTAGTGGCTCAGCTCCACACTCAGACGGTGAACTGTCAGTTTGAGCACATCATTTTCATCCACCAGCTCCTGAGCATGTTGCCTCAAATTTTGTAGCTCTGCCTGGCTGTCTGAAAACACAATAAATCAGGTTATAAATAATTTTGAGCCATTAAATAATGCTGGTGTTCAGACCACCGAACACAATAATTCAATAGGATGGTTGAGTGTGTAAATTCTCCATATGGGTTTGATTCTGTGTGTGACCTTCTGGCTGACCCTCAGTCCCAACAGACTTCCCTCCTTGGGTTATAATAAAGTATAGATGTTTCACTTGCAGTGTATGGCAGTGGAAAGCTCTTTCTAAAGCTCGTTTTTTAAATTCATGTCTCCTTTCTGGAGTTTGCATGTTCTCCCTGTGCAGCGTGAGTTTTCTCCAGGTTCACCAGCTTCCTCCCACGGTCCAAAAACATGTTGAGGTTAATTGGTGATTCTAAATTGTCCGTAGGTGTGAATGTGAGTGTGCTTGGTTGTCTCTCTGTGTAGCCCTGTGATAGACTGGCGACCTGTCCAGGTGAACTTGCCCTCACCCTAAGTCAGCTGGGATAGACTCCAGCCCCCCGCGACCCTAGTGAGGATTAAGCGATGTATAGATAATGAATGGATGGATGTTTCCTTTCATTACTCCCTATCCCTCCTCAGCTCAAGGAGGAGCTTTAGGATCAGAGACATATTTGTTAGCATGATCTCCAGCTGCCTCTTTTCACTCTTGCAAATGCAGTGATTTGTTTGCTGTCTTCCACTCTACACATTCTCTTTCTCCCTCCTTTCATTTTTTTTCACACTGTCCCTCTGTGGCTCCTTTTACCTGCAGAGGATTTCAGGTTTGAGAAGGCTTGGCTGTGACTGATTTCCTGTTCCAGGCGCTGCACTCTCTCCTCTAGTAGCTTTGGTTCATCTACCATCCTTTTGTTCTTCTTCGGTAGGCCCTGCACTACCTCCTTCCGCACCTCACTATATATCTTGCTTGGCTGTGGAGACACATGGGTGAGATGTTTTGGGCTTTTGGCTTGGCTGGCTTGGCTGGCTTGGCTGGGTTGGTCAGTGGATCGGATGTGGTTTGTGGCTGAAATAGGAGAGGAAGATATTTTTGATTACAAAAAAAGTAAGAAATATACTGTATTAGAAAAAAAAAAAAAAAAGCAATTATTACTTCAAATCTCTTGGAGTATTTTAGATGACTAAAACTGACACCTGTATCAGCATACATTAATATTAGAGTACATAGCCCAGTAACTACTTAACCAACAAATGCTATGTCACATAGTAGTGGGGCATGCTGTTTTTTGTTTTTTATCATAGTAAGATAGAAAATGCGGACACAAACACAGAAACCCCAAACTATAAGACAAACACTTCAAAAACAGAGGTGACTAAGGAAAGAAAAAAGGAACAGAGGAGAAACTGTACCATTTGAATGTACTTTGAACAAACACAACCAAAGCCTTTGTCACTGACTGCAGGAATTTGTACAAACACTGACAAAGCACTTTAAACACTGCATCAGATGCACTGTGTAATATTAGTTCTAAATTGCAGCCCTTACAATTTGCTAATTTGGTGGACAGTAAAGTTTTATTCTATTCTATTCTATTCTATTCTATTCTATTCTAACTAAAATGGCGATTTAAATTTGAAATTGATGAATTGTTTAGCCCTAAGGACATCAGGACAAAGTATTACAGGTTCTAGCTATAACTACTATCAGAAAATAGTGGCCTGGCATCACATCCTGAGCACAAATGGAGGGTAATATGACCAGTCAAAGGCTGTATGCAACAGTGGTGTGAGATTAGAAGAAATTAATCATACATAAATAATGACCTGTTGATTAGCATGCAGTACATGGTTATTCTATCTGTTCCAAAGTAAGCATTGATGTTTAAATGTAATAAATCAAAGGCTGGCCAATCTCCCCTTCCACTTACAGACATCACATACAAAGATATACACCTATATTAAGTGGACTGGTGACCGCTACATCTGCAGCTATGGTTTACAGGACAAGGAAAGGAGAAACCAACAGAGGCATTATTTTCTAAAGTTTAATATATTATTATTCAGCAAAAGAAAAGAAAATGTGTCAAATGACAAGCATAAAACTGCAGGTTACTTCAGTACTTACACCTAAATAGCACATCGTCTTTCCAGTTTTCAGGGTTCTTCCTGACAGTTGCTTTCTTCTTTCTGGCATCAGCAGACTGGCCACTGATTTCCTCTGAGAGATCTGTGAGGTGTGAAACATCGAGACAAAATGGCCATCAATCAATGAATACAACTGGGGAAGAAGTACTTGGTTCTGGGGGCTTTATCAAATTACCCCATTTCATCACAACAGCTTGCTGTTATGGGAAAGTCTATTTTTCCCCACAGTTTGCATTTGTTGCTTTGTATGTAGGTGCTCTTTTGTTATTAAGTAGGAGTATTGTAGGGACACATAAAACATTTTCATTTGCCACGGCCACAAGCCCAAGGGTAGCTCTTGTAATAACAACTATAATGAGGTCTTCCTTTTGGTTCTAATGACATAAGATACCTTATGGTCGTTGTGGAACTGCATGTTCATTGAATAAAAGCTTTATCTTCTTTCTACACTAAAGGCAAAGGAGTCATCTGTGGTGCAGCTGAGTCTGTCACTTTCTGTCATTTGTCTTTGTACTGAAGAGAATTCCTAAATCAGTTTGCATGCCTTTTTGTATAAGTAGTGCTCTTAATAAAAAAGTGTACTCCACTAGACAGGTTCAATAAAGGTGAACACCAAAATGGCATTAATACTAAGAGGTCTATACCTTTGTTTTTACTAAATTTCAGTCACACTCCGATTTGACAGTGCACCTTAAAACACCAACACCACGAACAGAGCTACATGTCTTTAGCTAACTGCTGTTAGAGAGATTTTCATAGAATAGCTTTGTATACTTGCTGCTTCAACACTGTTTTGACTGAAAATGATGAGAACCCACTCTCATCTACTGATGGTTTGTGTTACCACCTGCCCTTTACATCAGGGGTTACAAACAGCAGCTGCAACAAAACTAGAAATAGAATATGTTCACTGAGTGAAGCCAATAAATATGATAGAACATCTGTATAAATAAATATGTTGACAAAAATACAAGCAGTTTTATTGTAAAACTTGTATATGTACTGGCTATGTTTTATTGGGTTGAACAATAAGTAGGCCAATTCTTCAACACCAACCTAACATAGCTCTACCATGGATTGCTGAAATACACTATCATCATATATCAGTGTCGTATTTTTGTTATTTGCCATTATTGTCAAAGTTATTTTTTACAGTGTGAAACATTTGGATCCATAAGTATTTAAACAGTGACACATTTTTTGTAATTTTGGATCTATAATAGATTTAGAGAGAAGCAGCAGAAAAATTGTGACTGACGCGAAGACTCAGCTATAATTCAGTTCAACTCTCAATATGCTGTACTAAGAGGTTTTGATGCAAGTGAAGAAGGTCATCATTGTGATGTTAGACTTATCAGAGAGATGGGGACCAAATCAAAACTTGGTGTACTAGTTGCAAACCACTGGTAAAACCCAGACGCAGACAGGCCAGATTACACCTTACTGGACACAGTAATTTCACAGTACAGTTGAAAAATGACCCAAATCATACCAAGATTTCTTAAAGCAAAGGAATGGAAAATTAAATGGCCTAAGCAGTCACCCAACTTTAATCACATGCTTCTCATCAACAGAAGATATAACTGAAGATCAGCAAACAAGGCAGCTGCAGTTATAGTCTGGCAAAAAAATCGCAAGAAGGAAACTCAGCACTTAGTGATGTCCATGGCTTCTAGACTTGAGACAGTTATTGATTTCAAGGGATTTGTAACCAAGTAGCTTAAATAATCCATATATTTATAAGTATGCTACTTTGTCTAATTACTTTCAAGCCTGTAAATGGAGGGACTACATAGAAAATGACTAACCTATATAATACTTTTGTTAAATTCCTTTATTTAAAGCTAAAAGTCCATAATTCAGTCACATCTTGATGGTTTCAATTCACATCTAATATGGTGGTGTACAGAGGTAAAATTATGAAAATTGTGTCACTGTCCAAATACTTATGGAACCAACTGTTGTTGTGTCCTCTTCCGTTAGTGTGAAGCCAGTACCTGGAGAAGGCACTCTTCTGCCAGACATCTGAGGTGGCTGGAAGACAGACAAGCAAAACAAACAGGGAGGTAGTCAGCGAAACAGTGAGCTGGTCTTTTTAAACAGATGCTCAGATCCATGTGGCCTGAATCCCTTTTGTGTAAGGCTATTTTAGACAACACTGTGTTGAAGACCATTGTCAAAATGTATACAATAAGATCTCATCAGTGCACTCGCTGTATTGTAAAAGACACTTTAAAGCAGTGTAAATTAATTTCAGTGGTGACTTCAGTGTAGAGAAGAGATGCAACTGATAAAAATAAGAGAAAGAAAGACACAGAAGAAGAATAAAACTGATGAAATGAGAAGAACTGCTATGTATCAAACTAGACACACAAACTGGAACACCACAACTACAGTATAAATGCAATGGACACAAGAACAACTACCACCAGATTGGAAAAGATACTATATTTACATACTAGTTCATGTGGGTATAGATTGTTGTTTCCAGTGGACTGCATGTGAACAGTGGTGCATCATTTTGTAAAATTCTACTTTTTGGGTCACTAGACCTGGTACCCACCACACATTACGGCATAAGGAATAGAACCATAATGGCCTGTGTGTTGCTTTAATGTTTTTTGCTAACTGCAACTTGTGGTCGTTATGAATAAAGCAGGAGCTAGATTCTGCAATAGCCTGAAAAGACAATTGACAGGGGGAACTAGAACCCACTGGGACTATTATAGGTTAGCAACCCAAGTTAGCAGTCTACACAAGAACAACACAAATAGCAAAATATCCCTGGAGTCTGCTCTTACGACTCCTGGGATACAATCACCAGTGTATTAAGAAGAAATTTCACAAAAAAACACACCAGATACACTGTAGACCGTGTAAAAAACGTAACTATGAACAGGTAAAGCAAGGCCTTGGAGAGGAAAAGTACCCACAACTAATGCCCTGTAGTCAGTGACAAACATAAATCACAATTACACAGACAGTTTTCGAGGCTACTTGCAGAAGTGCAATAAACTAAACTGTCGCCACCTAAATGCTGGAGCATCAGAGACAAACACTGCAAAATTATATAATGTGGCAAAGGGAGAAGTCTCAGCACATAAATAAATCAAATACTTGATGTAAAACACCTGCAAGGCATACAGAAAAACTGCTTTGATACAGAGGAACAATAGCCACAAGTATACTCCAACCTGACTGAAATCTGAAGGATATCTCCACACTGTGAGTAAAGTCCTTAAAATGGTTATTGAGCTCAATCAAAACTGTGACAGTTTTAGGAAAAACCATAAAGATCACTGTCTGCAAAACAACATTCAACAGGACACACCACATTTATTCTGTGTACAACTGCCCCTCCTAGTGGATCTGACTGGCATCACAGTACATCCACTGTTGCTCAGAAACACATGAACCATAAACAAAAAGTATTAAACCTATTTAAAGAGCATCTTTCTTTAATGCACACAATCAAGAGATTTTTTTTTAAAGTTTGTCCAAGGAGGAAAAATCCAGATGTAACTAATAAAAACAATATCTCACAAACCCATTCCAATATATAAACAGAGTCCTGGTACTGACTCACCTGAAGGTAATGCATGCTGTTTTTAGGATTAATTACACCTGTGCCATTCTCATGGTAACATGCTAAAATCTGAGTGATATAACAGGTCTACCAGCAGCTGCTGCTGGTGAGGTTCTCGTCTTTTACTGCTGACCACTGAGAAGTTCTTAAAGGCTCTTTGACAATACAGAGCAATGTTTCTAATTTAATTTTGATGAGATTTTCATTATTTGTACAAGAAGCATCCAACAATCTAGGGAGAAACCTGCATTCACAACATGAGATTTTCCTGCATTCACTCACCTTAGTTTTTAGTGGCAGAGTATAGACTGGTTCTGTGATTGAACAATTCTCCGGTCTTTCCAGAGTTTGGTAAACATGTTCTTCCCCATCCTCTTCATCCTCTGCCTCCTCTTCCTTGTCTTCCAACTCCCCCTCTGAGTTGTCAGGGGAGGACAGGCGTGGCCGGCTGGCTAAATCCTCTGACCTTCTGTCTCTTAGGAAGGTCAGAAGGTAACACAACAATAGACAAAAGTTAGTTGGGTCTCAGCAGGGGAACAAAGTAATACATTGTTTTTTATACCAGAAGTGGACTTCAAGAGACTTCAGGTGGTGTATGGGCTTAACTGTCAGCCTCTAAGAAGGAGAGGATTGAAGTCATGCCTGTTATGTCATCACCGCTTTGCTGGTGGAGCTCACCCTGCTCTCATGGCTGCTTATGTCTTTGAACTTCATATTAACTTGTGTTTATATTATTACTACTTAGATTAACTTAAAGTATAAGTTAATATATAACTCAAAACTTATATTTTTTCTGAAACAAAATAAAAAGTTGATGTCATGAAAAAAATCATTTGACGTCTTTAATTTCTTAGATGTACCTAGAGACCGTTGCTTCTATTAAAGCATGCAGATCTATGAAGTCCCACACCTCCCTCCATCTACCTCTCCCCCACTCGCTGCAGCTTGAGCACACCAATTCACCAACATCTCTGCTGAAACAATATAAAACTACTCTGTGCTGCACATTGCAAGCTAGAATATTGGAGTAATTCAGTCATACATGTTAGAATCACAAATTGATTTTGAAGAAGAACAATGATACAGAAAGCCCCCTCCTGCAAGCTGATGGAATTGGTTCCTGAGATGAGTTACATGATCTGGAACCCTTGAATCTGTATTTTTGAGACTGTCAGCAGGACACTGCAGTTTAAAGGCAGGAATGTTTAGTCATTGCAGTGATCACTACTCTTATAACATGTCTTCAATAATATAAAAAACACCACATGGACATGTTAACAAGGTAAAAACCTTGATTTTCCACTGAAAAAGGTCTTAAAGGCTCACTACAAGATGAGATGTCATGTTAAGATGGATATTCTCAGGTTCAAGCCAAACAAGTCATTAAGAATAGACAGAGCTCACAATGTATACTGCATACATGCAGAATCGTCATTATGATTGTTCTGTTTTGGGCCTTTTAAAACCACTTTTCTACTTGACGCACATGACATACCAATAGTGACATATAGCTTGCAATGACACTGTTTCAGTTGCTACAGGTTGGTCACCTGGTGTAAAGTGCAGTGCTGATATTTGGTTCTGATATGAAGGATTCAGATCGGTCACTCTCAGAGAAAGACCTGGGCCGGGCAGGAGGGATGGCCCACGTCTGTCCAGTGAGGGAAGAGGACAATATGGCGGCTGCTAACGCTGATCTGCAGATGGAAACACACACTTTGAGATGCGCTTTGTGTAAGAGAATGCCACAAGAAACGTATGCTATTTATCACATAAACATTTAAAGTGATAATTATTTTTTTCTTATGTTTATATTGGTATAACAGATTTTGCCTTTGTTTTCCTAAATGTGTTTGACAGCATTTTCACATCAACCATGGGGAAAGAAAACATTGGTCTCACAGTAACTGCATATAAACCTATAAACCAGATACAGGAAGTTGATTAAATAAAAAGAGAAAAATGAAACCACACTTCACCATTTAATTTGGTATTAAAACCAACTGTAATGATGATGAGGTGTAATGGCAACACCAGAAAAAAGGGCAGTATGAAAGGATGCTGGAGGTTAACAGTGATGAAGGGCCAGAGTCAGGTACCTGGGTCTCTCAGGTGAGGGGTTTGGGCTGCGTGGGGGAGGGGTACGAGGCACAGCTGGCTTAGGAGCAATGGAGGCGGCAGGGATCAGACCATGAGCTATATGCCTCTACATAACACACAGAGAAAGGTTAGAAAGACACTTTGTATCACACGGACACACAACACAACACATACAATGTCGGTGCTATGATACAGGGGTTGAAGAGGGTTTGTACATGAAATAATACCCAAACTGAGGAACGACACAGACGCGCTACATGAAGAGGGGGAAGAGCAGAAAGGGTGATTACAGGATCACTAAACTGACAGTATACAACAGGTCCAGCATCCAGCCGTCAGCTCCACTTCCCCCAACAGAAGCAGCTAGTTAGTGGCTCCCTTCAATCACTGTTCAGTTTGGTCAACAAAGTAAACCATGACATGAACTAACCACCAAACGTTAGCTTAAACAACTAGGGTAATGCTAGTTAAATGCAGAACACATTTAGCGGTTTATTTGCCTATAAAAAGACATGACACTTACAAACTCCTTGTCTTTGTCCCTCTTGAAGCTGAATTTTAACATGTTGGAAAATGTGTGTTTGCGCCTTGTTTTAGTAGCCAGCCACGTTAACGGGAAGTTGCGGTTTGGACACTCGGTCATAGAGCATTCTGTCCGTTACATGGCATAACAAATGTTTATTTGTACATTTCAAATTAGTTATCGCTCTTCTACCGAAAAATCTAAATCGCAGGCTAACTATATTCAACAGGCTGGCTGTTTGTAGCGCGTATGGAGACGCTTCACCCGAAGAAGGGACCTCGATACAACAGTGCTACTGATTGGTTAAATTTGAAGAAAGAAGCCAATCAGAGAGTGGTTTAATTCACCTAGCAACGGTGTCCATAACGACCAGCGGCCTCGCCGATAGGGGGCGATGTCGGTCCATGTAGTGAAACGTGAGCGCATCAGAATCAGAATCAGAATCAGCCTTAATGGCCAAGTATGTACACCCATATGTATGTATATATATATATGTGTGTGTGTGTGTGTGTGTGTGTGTGTGTGTGTGTGTAAAAGACCTACCTCTATGGCGTTGCTTTCGTGTCTCGTTCCCGAGCAATTAATTTTGAGCATCAAAAAGAGGTATCAGTCCATCCCTAATATATATATATATATACATGCCATAAATATCACTCAAAGGTGATGATTTCTTATGGGTTAACACAAAAGATCGCTGGCCCTTTGACACAAATAAAATGTATTTATTTAGAACTAAGTAGGCTACAATATTTTTGAATTAAGTATACAATTCACAAGACTAGTAAAATAAATGACCATACACCCATCTTCAAAATGTGTACCTTAAAACGCAAAAGTTTAAAAGTTTCATTTTAGAAAAAAATTTGACATGAAACAGCCAGCAACAGCTTTTATTGTTTTGTTGTCAATAAAGTAGTACACAAGTCCTCGGACTCCAGAGCTCTGTTTCTCACTGATGAGACAAAATGGAAGAAAATAGCAAGTATACAGCAAGTCAAAAGATTAACAGTGACAATAATAGAACAGTTAAGTTTCCCCACATAGAATAGCCTACTGACCATAAATCGATAACATAATTGACAAAGAATCAGATCAATAAGGGGAATTGATAATGGCATTGGTATTAACAACATTTTTATCAATATCTGTGGTTGAACTTACCTCCATATTTAACAACAGATTTCTGGTGGCCTTGTAAGTGGGAAATTAGGGCATGGTATGGCCCTGCCTTGTGGCACATCGGGCACTGAAAAGTGTCCACTCCCAATTTACAGAGCTCTGGGCATGTGCCCTCCCTAAATGTTGTGATGTTGGTCTATAGGAGAATAAAATACTATTAAAAAAACTCACAGGCCTACTTCCTCACTTTATACATTTTATTCTGGAAAGAAATAAAAGGAACTGTAAACTACACTTCAATCAAACTTAATCAACACACATATCACCGAAACTATT